GTAGTGAATACACGGGTACCCAGATGCGGTTGGTGCCTGTTTTTACGTAATAGACTCCTCTGGCCTCTGCCAGTTGCTGTGAATTTCCGGTCGTGAAAAATGGGTTGGTGCTGTATCCGTGGGTGAATAGGCTTATTAACTGTGGGTTGGTTTGGGCGAGTAGGATGGCATGGAGTTGGGCGGTAGGACGGGTGAGTGCGTCGGCGATGTTGGATGCGCCTTTCTTGTACGTAACCGTGTAGTGGAAGTTGGACTCGAGGTAGTCCAACCAGCGAATCTGTCATGGATTGAGATTTGGTTGGGCGCGTAGGTACTGTAGTGATCGGTGGTCTGTCCGTACTGTTACATCGGCGCCAGTCAGGTAACACCGCCAAACCTTGAACGCGTGCACGATCGCCAACATTTCGCGGTCGTGTATCGGGTAGTTGCGTTCGGGCGGGTGCAGCTTGCGGGATTCATACGCGATTGGCTGGAGGCCGTTCCCAAAATCCTGCAACAGTACTGCTCCCACAGCGATGTCACTTGCGTCAGTGACGAGCTTGAACCGACGGTGTGGATCTACGATGTGAAGCACGGGCGGTGAGCACAAAATGTTTTTGAGGGCCGAGAAGGCAGCTTGCTCTTTCTCCCCCCACGTGTACTCAACCCCCTTTCTTAGCTGGTCAGTCAACGGGGTAGTCAGCTTCGCCATGTCGGGGACGAACCGGCGCACTTAGTTGACGAACCCTAAAAAACTCTGCAACTCGGTTAAGTTGGTCGGCGCGTGCCACGCTTGAATTGTCGCGATCTTCTTCAGGTCTATTTCCACTCCTGCTGCTGAAATAACGTGTCCCAAAAACTCCAGGCGGTCCTGTAAAAACTCACACTTAGATGCTTTTCTCAGTAGGTGGTTCTCAGTCAGTATTTTAAAAAATGATTCGATGTCCTGTAAGTGTTGTGCTCTGTCAGGGCTGTAAATCTGGATGTCGTCCAGGTATACGATGACGAACTTATCTAAGAGCGGGCGGAAAGCTTCGTTCATGGTCATTTGAAAAGTGGCGGGTGCGTTGGTCGATCCGAATGGCATGACGGTGTATTCGAAGGATCCGTAGCGTGTGCGAAATACGGTCTTAGGGCAGTCGGGCGGATTGACGCGAATCTAGTGGTAACCCCCTCGGAGGTCGATTTTCAAGAAAATCCAGGCTGTGCGCAGTTGGTTGATCAGTTCGTCGACGCACGGGATGGGGTAACGGGATTTGATGGTAACCCTGTTCAGAACTCGGTAATCTATGCACATGCAAAATCCCCCGTCTTTTTTCGGTGTAAACAGTATCGGTGCTGCGAAAGGCGACGAACTAGGGCGAATGAATTCCTTCTTGAGTAGGTAATCGAGCTGCTTCCTCAGTTCGTCCAGTTCGGGCTGGGTCAGTCGGAACTGTCGCTGTACTGCTGGCTGTGCCCCCGGTTCTAACTCTATCCTGTGGTCGTGTGGTCGCTGCGGTGGCAGTCCCGTCGGTAAATTGTCTGGGAAAATGTCGCTGTAGTGCTTCAACAGTGCTGCCAGATCACTCGGTACGTCGGCCAGCAATTTCTGTAAATCCCCTCCCTTGTCTGCTGCCTCGGCTTCCCGAATGTTGACCGCGTACACGTCAGCTCTTGCCGCTACTTCGCGTTTCATCGTGATCGCGTTCACACGCACCGACGAAGACTCAGGCGACCCCCAGCGAGATAAGGCGATGTTGTTACCGTTCAGTCGCACGGTGTAGTCACCCGTCGTCCAGTCGATTCGTGGATAGTGTCGTCGCAACCAATCATGCCCGAGTAAAATATCGGTTCCGTCGAGGGTCTTCGCGAGCATTTCCTGGCTAAACGTGAAGTTACCCCCACATCGAATCCGAACCCGGTCTACACGTTCCCGTATCGCCAGCGGCGTGCCGTATACCAGTCTTGCGTCGATCTCAGGTAAACATCTGTCGAGTGGCAGTCGCTGTTTTCGTGCTGTGGCACTGTTGATGAGGCTGTGGCTGGCCCCCCCGTCTACGAAGATTTTTACTAAGTCCGTCCCAATTTTCCCACTAAGCAGTATAGGGCTGTCTAATGTGGTCCCCTCCATATTTGGCCGAGTGTGGTCGATTGCGTGAACCGGCACAATCACTCGGTGAGGGTCGGTTGGGTCGCGCAAGCGGCGTGACCTATCAGTAGAGGGCCCGTCTGCTACTGACTCCCAGCGTTTCCCTGCTGCTTGGTCTGTTTCTGCTGCTCAGCTTCCCCCTTTCCCTTAGCATTTTCCGGGCATTCGCTCTTGCGATGTCCCGGCCGATTGCACACAAAGTAGCGCCCTTTGAATGGTGCGGCAGCGGCATTTGTGGCAACGGCGCGTATTGTGGCGCCCTCGTTTGTCCCATGAGGCCGATGTCCCCAATTGCTGCTTCCGTAGGACCCCGGTCTCGGCCGGCGGAAGAAATCGTGTTTCTCCGCCATGGGGAGAATCTCCTGAAAATCGGTGATGTCGCGAAGCTGGATTTCCTAAGCGATGTCCTGCTTCAGGCCGCCGATATAGCGGTCGATGCGCCCAATGTAGGCTCTCATGCATATATCCCACCTGCTTGCATAGCGCCAGAAACTCGCTCGTGTAATCTTGGACGGAACCGAGCTGGCGCCAAGTGTGGAGCCTCTGTTGCGCCGCGATCGAAGCCGCAATTGGCTCGAAACGAGCGCGCATACCTACGCACCACGCGTCCCACGTGCGATACTGGGGCACCTCCACGAAATACGACGGCGCCCAGGTTCCGGTTTGTCCTTCCCGTGTTGGTAGAGTCGCGTAGTCCACCGGCTTTGTGACGATGATACGCCACAAGTCCATGGCGGGTCCTTGCAGTAATGACACGGCGTAACGAATCTTCGCCGTATCCTCCAAGACGTAGTTCGCGTCGAAGAAAACGTTCAACGTGAAGAGCCACGCCTGAACGGTAGGACCACCCCGTTGACTTGGGTCAAAGCATGGCGGACGTTGCGGCTTTAGCGGCATCGGTGACGGAAGAGTTGATTCGCCGACCGACACTGAAATCGTGACTCGAGGCTGAGTCCTTGCCGCATTCGTCGCGTCGGGGTGTGTCGTGCCGTGGTTGTCGTCTCCGTCATGGCGGACGACGCCATCACTTGCGGTGCTCGCGGGTTGCCCCACACTTCCGTGCTGTGATGTCTGTGGTGCGGGCTGAATTGGAGTGCCAGGTGCTTGGGATTTCGCCCGTGTGAGGTCGTTTTGCAGGGACGAGCATTCTGCCGTCAGCGTCGCGATTTCCTCGGCGCTCTCGCGGATTTGTCGCAGCAGATCGTTCAAGTGCTCCTGCGTGAGAGTCGTGACGTCGATAAGTTCAGCCATTTCGAAGGGCGTCGGCTCGTCTTAGTCTAGGCGCAGTCGTGGCTGCACGCGCGAGGACAGCGGCTCCTAGGTGCTAAGGTACGTGAGTCCCTTCGAGTGAAAAATCAAAAGTTGATTTCCTGGGGTGCGGAGATGCGCGGTCCGAAAAGAAAGAGGCTCTGAATATCAAGTGTTACGGGTGCAATGGATCTAGGTAGCAAGGATTGCACTAAAGGTGTCAAACGAGTACAAAATGTGAGCGAAGGCATGAGCGAACATTTATACGCGAAACACGCAAATGGTATCGCGGTGCGTGTGAGCTAGCTAGTGCTATGCTGGAAGCGAGGCTCGGGCTAGTCCCGAAGCGTAGGCCGACACGGCCAGGCCAGCAGTGCGAGGTTTGGTGAAACAGTGCGTGCGAAGTCGGCGAAGCCCCGTTAGCAGTAACGGGCGAACAACGGCTGCTGCTGTACGCAATGTTGCAGGGTGTGCTAAGGAATATCGAGAAAATTCCTTACAACAGCCCATATTTTCCCCCACCCCCGGAGTTTTGGCACGAAAGATACTGATTCATTTGGTGGGTGACGGTTCAAAGACATACAGAACCTTTCTCCGCCGCACATACTGAACCAAAAGTGAACAAAGACGCGCTCGGCACCTCCGCAAGGAGTTTCCCCCAGCCATCCTCCCGCCAGTACCTACGGGTGCTGGAGCGCGGGAACGCTCCAACTCCCCGTGTTGGAGGAAACGTGTTGGAGGAATGAACTGGCAAGCTGACCGCGGGCAAAAAAAACTAAAACCCGTTCGGACCGGGATGCCGTTCGGGAGCCTCAACCCTGAAATTACAGGGTTTTGGCTCCCGAATGGCATGCCCTCCATGCGGGGTTTATTTTTTTCCTTGCCCGCGGTCAGCTTGCCAGCTCATTCGACTGCCAGCTCACGCTGGACGACATCTCACGGGGGGAGGCCGAAAAGCTGTCGCAAGCCGGATGTTTTATCCTAGTCTTAGTTTTTTCGTGACAAAAGGCGACCCGCAAGTCGACGCACATCGCAATTGTTGGCCTCGCGGAATAGATGTTGAAAACGTGCTACTTGCAACTTCCGAGCTTGGCATGTCGCGCATCACTCGCTTTTCAGTCTCAGGGCGTATCTTTGGTTCCGGTCATGAGCACTGTTCCGGGCATCCGCAAATTGCGGATGACCCAAACTGCACATAACACCACTTCGGGGCCTTCCTTCGTGAGCGACCCGTAAACTGTCGCGCACGTTTCCCCGCCCAGAAAGCGACTCCCGTCAACCGTCGCACCCAATCGGGCAGGGCCAAACCACCACACATGAAACACTTCTACCGGCCCACGAGACACTCAACCCACTCACCACACCGTCAAAATTCCCGGCGGGAAAAGTCACATTCAGATCTGCGCGGTTCCACAACGCCACCCAACCAACAAACTTGGCATCAATTTCGGTGCTCCTTTGGTTTCCAAGGCCCTACGGTTACTCCACAAAGCATAGATCGCATCCTGAACTTCATACAAGCCCACCAGAACTCTCTCTAATCTCCCTAAACCTATCCCCAGATCATGTCCATAGTAGAGCAATGGCCCCACGCCGGAGCACGCGCGGCAAGGGGAAAGATCGATGTAGTGACGATGAGCCTATGGAGGACCCACCATATGTCACATGGATGAAAGAGCAGAAGAAGCAGGGGAAGCCGTCCCCGTCAATCAAGCATATGGCAAAGGCCAAGCGTGACTCTGCCGGCGCATCCACTAGCGGAGGCGCACGGCGTCACTACGACGATGGCGCCGACACTGACGTCAGCGATGACAATCTCGAAGAGATCGTCTCAGAATCAGACAGTGAAGCCGATTCCGACAACTACAAGGATGGGAGCGACGACGACGGCCAGGATGAGGATGGCGGTGAAGAGGCAAGCGGCGACGAACGCAGCACACGCGCGTCGAAGAAGGAGAAGCGCCCGCATGCACCGCGCAATAAGCGGGTATGGTCGGACGCCGAGCTGCCCACCCTCGCGGCCGCACGCTGGAACACAAAGGACGATTTGAAAGCAATGCAGGGCAAGCAAGGGAGTCAGTACTGAATGAAATTGCGTGCACACATCGTCGAAGGGGACGCCTCGTGGAACCGCGATGAGGGGCAGATGTCGAACGCGTGGAAACGCCTGGAGAAGAAGTACCTAAAAACAAAACGTGGTGAAGGGCAGAGCGGCGGGAAAGCGATCAAGAAAAAGCCGTGGTGGGAGTACGTGTATAATCTCAAGAAGCACTTGGCCAAGGCGAAGGCTCACGCACTGGACGGAGGAGGCGCCGCCACCGTGGACGTCCCTGCATACGCCTCGGTGCCCGGCACCACCGAGCGTGAGACGTCGGCCCCATCGTCTCTGGAACTACAACGCAGTGGCCGTCGGGCAAATAGAACGCCAGGTTAGTGTTGTTCTGGGAAGGCATTGTTCGTGGTTTAATGCCAAAGTATTACCGTGAGTCACTGCAATTGACCACCCTTGCATTATACTTCTCAACAAATACATGCAATCAAATAGCAACAAAGCCGCCTTATTACCAACTATGCCTACACCCTCCCCTACAGACGCTGGTGACACTCCTAAACCTAAACGAAGGCGGGTATACGAAACCGCCACTATGGCAGCAGCAAAGCTGGTGAGCGATGCCATCAACTCCACCAACGCGAACGTGGTGCGCCAGCTTCAAGACTCCACTCAGACGCTTGTCGCCGTCATGAACATGGCGGCCCTTCAGGCTGGCGTGCGATTGCAGATGGCCACATCGCACGCACAATAGGCTGCGCCTCAGACGACGCCGGCACTCGCGCCACCTTTCGACACTACCGACGCCAACATGGCGTCCACGGAGGACGTGGCGGAGCAGCCCGAGCCTTAGCGCGTTGACCTCGGCAGACGGTGACGCCTGAGGTAAGCCCGATGGATGTGCTTGCCAAAGTGGTGTCGGCGCGCGCGCAGATCGGCAAGTGTTGGGTTGTCTAGGCTCGGTCAGTGATAACGATCCATGCCGCTCTTAGTCCACCAGCCGTTCGGGAGCCCCGCCCATATGTAGCGTCGGGGGTTGTGGGTTTTCATCCTTGGAGTACTGACGGTCTGCAACATGTTGTGCAGGATGATGATGCAGGCCGTTCCTGCACACACGCGCCAGAGCTTGCTCTCGTGCCTGCGCGAGAAGAGCCTCCAGCGCCCCTTCAGTGCGCCGATCGTGCGCTCAACGACCATCCTGGTCGCGGACTGGACATAGTTGAACGTCTGCTCCCACTTCTTCATAAGGCGACGACGTGGTGCGTGCAGGGGGGTGAGCATGTAGGACCTCAATGGGTATGCGGCGTCACCCACTAACTGATAGGGGGCGATTTCCCCACTCTCTAGCCTGCCATGCAGATCTGATGTAGAAAAAACACCTTGATCATGCATTGAGCCCGGATTGCCAACCGTGAAGTCCCAAATGACTCCCTTTGAATCACACGTGACCTGAAGTTGCACACTGTATACCAACTTCCTGTTGTAGTAGTCCCCACGGTGTGCCTCCATGCCGCGAATCTCAACATGTGTACCGTCAATCGCGCCAATCACATTGGGGACTCCTTTGATGGCCTTGAAGTCCAGCGCCATCTCCTCCCGCACTTCTTCAGGAGGGAACTGTACCCAGTCCCGCTTGAACTTTCGGGGAAACCAGACCAAGAAGGCATCCACAAGGCAGTGGATGAGGCACCTTGTCAGCCCAAACATTAGGCTCATGTCGTGGTAGGTCATGGCACTGGCAAAGTATTTGATCGGGATAAGACAGCAGAGAGATAGTGGGACCTCGTTCACCTGCACAAAGCGCGACATTGGATGAGCCATCTTGTCAGCGATGAGGTCGAGTACTTCCCGCGTGATGCGGAAAGTGTCTTCAAAATCCTTGTCAAACATGGCGCGTATCTCCTCGGCCCAATAGGCCACCCGTTCCTGGCGCTTGCACTTCCGAATTTCGCGGCGGGCGGTTTCACGTCGCCCGCGCTCCCCATCCTCTGCCTGAGCCATAGGGAGGATAGTGGTTAACCACTCCAATGCAGCTAGAGATACAACACGCTGCCAGGAGGTGAGGAGGTGCTCATGCCATAGGTGTAAGGCCACACACAGGATGAGAACCTGTGCGCTGACCATGGTTTATGGCCGCATTGAAAAAGCCGAGAGGACGCGCTTAACGCATTAAGAGCCGTGGCCGGTCGCATTCGGTTCATTACTGGGGCGCGCAGTTGCTGGGAGCGCGTTTGTTGTGGGCGACTTGGCGTGGAGCGGCTGGTTGCTTATATATGGGGATCCTGTGCGTAGCGCTCAAACTTTGTGGAGTCGTGATGTGACTCTGTAAAAAATGTCACACGATCGTTACGAGGTTTTTTTACAAGTTTGGTAGGTGCGCAATTGACATTGACGGGCGTGAGTCAACTGAAGACGGCCATCTACAGAGTGGTACTGAACATGGGGTCACAGTGCATTATGATTGGTCGGGGGAACATTTTGACTGACGGTCGCATGCAGAGGGATGGATGACCCGAAGTTCGGACCGCGTGCGCCTCGACGCTCCACTTTGGGTCATGCGCTAATTGCGGATGCCCCAAACAGTAGAATGAACAGTGCTCATGACCGGAACCATAGATACGCCCTCAGCATGTTTAGGTTGTCAAGTTTCCTTCCCAACGCCAGTTGCGAGAGAGTTGGACGAGTGACACAGGCAACTTCCGCAGGTTTGGAAAGTTGCTCCGATGGCGGCTCGAGAACCAGCCGTTTTGTTCGGGTTAAGAAACACCTCGACATTGTTGATACAGTGAATGTTATGTTTCTGAGCTGATTACAAAATCGACTATGTACAGTTTAATGTGAACCTTGATACTGTGTATGGATTGCGTTCCTCGCTAAGGGTTGTTCAACCTTTTGCGCATTCCGCACAATGTAACGAAATGCATTTCGGATTCGTTAAGGCACTCAACTCTCAATGGTGTATGGATGCCATTCGTCAGGCTAGGAACATGTCAGTTTGGATGCTGGGCGTGGTTTGGCGCGAAAATTGGAAACTCACTTTGGCAATCACAGAGGAGCATTAGCTCAATTCACTCCCTCTCGACTAGTTTATCCTGCTGCTATGAGAAATACGCGGCTCGGAATTCAGCTTACTCAACAACCGCTTTCCTAGATTTAAAAACGTTGGTTCTATAGTTGCGCCCTTCATCTTATCATTTGCACTTGCCCGCTACGAGGAGCCGACCACCAATAGGACAAACGGCAGTGTGTTTTAGCACAAATAGATGTTTAGATAAGCAGGCGCGCGCTTGGAGCACATGAGCACGTAGGTGCGCTTGCGGCATCCGCAGGTAGTAGCGGTGCGCGCTAGAAGCGTATGAGCGGTTGGGCAGCAGCACATCGCAGCAACAGGAGCAGAGGCAGTGGCATGGTGTGCGTGAGACACCGCAGCGTGCTTGAAGCAGCAGCACGCAGCAGCCTGATCGCATTAGCAGGTGCATTCGCAGCATCGTCTGCAGCAGCAGCAGGGCGTTGCAGCAGGGGCGTTAGGAGAAGCGGCAGCAGGACGTGCGCGTAGAGCAGGCAGCGGCGAGCAGCAGCTGGGATCGCATCAACACGTGCTTTCGCAGCATCCGCAATAGCAGAAACGCGCATCTGCAGGGGCGTTAGGAGCAGCGGCAGCAGGATGTGCACGTAAAGCACCGGAGCGCGCTAGCAGCAGCGGCGCGCAGCAGGTGGGATCGCATCAGGAGGTGCATTTGCAGCATCAGCAGTAGCAGCAACGCGCATCTGCAGGGGCGTTAGGAGCAGCGGCATCGGGATGTGCGCGTAAGGCACCGGAGCGCGCTAGCAGCAGCGGCGCGCAGCAGGTGGGATCGCATCAGCAGCTGCATTCGCAGCATCAGCAGTAGCAGCAACGCGCATCTGCAGGGGCGTTTGGAGCACCGGCAGCGGGATGTGCGCGTAAAGCACCGGAGCGCGCTAGCAGCACCGGTGCGCTGCAGGTGGGATCGCATCAGCAGGTGCATTCGCAGCATCAGCAGTAGCAGAAACGGGCAGCAGCAGAGGCGATAGGAGCCGCGGCAGTAGCAGGTGCTTCAGAAGTCTTTCGGGCCTAGCGTTGGCAGCTGCGCATAGCAGCAGCAGATGTGTTTGCTACATCGGCATCAGCAACACATAGCAGCAGCAACTGTGTTTGGTGCATCAACATCAGCAGCGCATAGCAGCAATAGATGTGTTCGGTGCATCAGCATCAGCAGCGCATAGCAGTAGCAGCTGTGTTTGGTGCATCAACATCAGCAGCGCATAGTAGCAGCAGCTGTGTTCGGTGCATCAACATCAGCAGTGCATAGCAGCAGCAGATGTGTTCGGTGCATCAACATCAGCAGCGCATAGCAGCAGTAGCTGTGTTCGGTGCATCAACATCAGCAGCGCATAGCAGCAGCAGATGTGTTCGATGTATCAACATCAGCAGCGCATAGAAGCAGCAGCTGTGTTCAATGCATCAGCATTAGCTGCGCATAGCAGCAGCAGATGTGTTCGATGCATCAACATCAGCAGCGCATAGCACCAACAGCTGTGTTCGATGCATCAGCATCAGCAGCGCATAGCAGCAGCAGCAGCATTGGCATGTATGCGTGTTGCATCAGGTGCACATTAGCAGCATGTGCGTTCGGCATTTGGGCGTGAAGGATCAGAGCATGTTGCATGAACAGCAGGAACCGGTTCGTTTGCAGGGTTGACAGCATCAGGTGCTTTCGCAGCATTGGCAGCTGCAGCAAGTACGCAGCGGCGGCAGTAGCAGGCGCGCTCGCATCAGCAAAGCGGTGGCAGCAGGCCGCGGTGGCATGGTGCAGCAGGTAACTTCGCAGCATCAGGTTTAGCGGCGTCGCGCAGTAGCAACATGGATCAACAAAGCCTCCCGTTTGAGTACGACCAAGATGGCTGTGATGCAAAATTTGCCACTCAGCGACTGAAGCGTCGCACATGAGCAGGGGCCAGCATACGTTTCACGGCATTCAGGGTAGGGCAGCAGCTGGGGCTAGCACGGCGGGCATGGGCTATAGCATGCGTAGCTTTGTGGTCGCAGGTCAAGCTCTTGAATACAGAAGCCGAAAACGTAGGATCGTTACTCCATGCGAACTGGGGGACCGATTAGAACCAGAGACGGATGCAGCGACCCCCAACGCAGACTTGACTGGCTACGACCTTTCACCTGCAGGCAACCCCTCTTTAGTTAACATGGATGGTAGGTTCTACAGGTTCTGTAGGACAGCTGCAGGGGGTGCAGGTTTGTCCCAGGCTGACATCAAAGAACTGATTCAGATATTGATCGAGGCCCTTGAGAATCCGGGTAGTGTTAACCTTAGGAGTCTAGGGGATTTTGATAGGTTCGAGGAGAAACAAACTGCAGTGGCCCAGTTGGAGGGCTTTCAAACCACAAGCCTTTGGAAGCCAGGTGACTTAAAGCCTGTAGTACTGTATTGGCGCTCAAGCATGTCATGTGTACGAGGTCTGTACCAGAACCGGGCCAATGCGGAGGGATTCGAGGTTCGGGCTCGTAGGTTTGGAAAAAAGCAGATGAGGATTTACAAGGGTCCAGAAACTGGAACCTGGTGGGCAGAGGTGGAAGATGCGTTGCCCGTGAATGGTCATGTTGCCGCTGTTATCCTTTACTCTGATCAGACAACTTTGACTACTGACGGCGGGGTGACCGGGTGGCCTGTATACATATCGCTCGCTAACATCTCTTCCTCAAACAGATGGAAATCTCACGGCCGCCGTCTGGTTGCTCTCCTTCCTGTTATTGACGACCAGACCTTCAAAGGGGCTGACGACACGCGCAGGCGGAATGAAGTGTATCACGATGCACTGCGCATGATCTTGGAGGAACAAATGAACGTTCTAAAAAAGTGAGTGGTTCAGAGTGGCCCGTTCGCATGGTAAAGGACGACAATGTTGTTTCATCCCTGCCCTCCTCCCTGCCCTCCTCTCTACCATCCCCCATGCTTTCCTCCCTGCCCTCCTCCCTACCATCCTCCCTGCCCTCCTCTCTACCATCCTCCCTGCCCTCCTCTCTACCATCCTCCCTGCCCTCCTCTCTACCATCCTCCCTGCCCTCCTCCCTGTCCTCCGCCCTGCCCTCATCCCTGGCGTCCCCCTGGCCCTCCCCTCCTCCGTTGTTTTTTCCTGCCCACCTCTCAGCATCGTCCATGCATGGTCCCTCCGTTCCCCCTGCTGGGTATTTTGTATTTGGTTTCTACGTATTTTGTTTGACATTGACTATCTGATTCGTACCCTACCCTACAGGGGGGAGAAGTTGACAGACCCTTATGGGATCGAACGTTGGGTCTACCCTATCACCTATGCATATGTTGGGGACTACCCAGAGCAGTGCAAGGTGGCAGGTACCAAATCGGGGATCAAAACTGCTTTCCCCTGCCCAAAATGCAAAGTTCCAAATGAAAAGCTCGGTGACATGACTTACCCTATGAAATATCGAACGGAGATTGAGCAGCAGAAGCTCGTCCGTGAAATGCAGCTAGCCCCAACCAAAAAAGCAATGGAAGAACTGGAGGTCAAGCACAGTACTCATTTTGTCAAGGTGGGTTTAGCCAAGCGTTTTCAACTTGCAGTGACCGTTATGGGGTGTACCTCGGTTAGTTCGTCCCTAACATGTCTTCGTCTTGACGATTGCAGAGCGCACTGTGGGGATTTCGATTTGGTGAGACAAGCTTCGGCAACCCATATAGGCAACTGATGGTGGACATCATGCACATGTCCTCTTTGGGGGTCTACAAGCACATTGTAGATAGCTTGAAGCAGCAGCTATCAAACGAGGCTCTCAGACAACTAGACAGGGCACTATCTACCATCACCCAGTACAGCCGCCAATCCTTCTTCCGTCTTCCCGCGCATATAGACGGATACTTCAGTGGCAACGCCACGTTCTATGCCTTCCAGCACCAGGCTGTTATGTAGGTGCTGCCCGTTCTGATGTCAACCGTCAAGGACATGAACCCAGAGTGGGTGAGGACCGTGGAGCTGTTTTGTTTGTGGCATACCCTCGCTTGGCATCGCGCCTATCACACTGAGAAGTCACTGAAGAATCTGCAAGAGATGGCTCATGTGTAAGTACTGTGCAACCGTGTACTTGCCAATATTTGTTGTTTCATCTAGTAGATTGTTTGTCGTGTAGTAGGTTTGTCATGAACGAGCAGGCTAGATTCGTGTATGTGGATAAGGAGAATCACTATCACCCCGGGTACCGCCCTTTCCATCGCATTTCCCCTTTAACCTTTGATGTCCTGCCTTTACAGCAGGTAGCCCAGAGAGCATCACTGTTACCCCACACTGCTCTTGATCTCACTGATTGCCCTCTCACTGCTCTTGATTTCACTGATTTCAATCTCTCTGTTTTAGATCTCACTGATTGCACTCTCACCGCTCTTGATCTCGCTGATAGCACTCTCACTGCTCTATGTCTCAATGATTGCACTCTCACTGCTCTTGATCCCACTGATTTCAATCTCTCTGTTTTAGATCTCACTGATTGCACTCTCACCCCTTTTGATCCCACTGATTCTACTCTCCCTGTTTTTGATCCCACTGATTCTACTCTCCCTGCTTTTGATCCCACTGATTCCACTCTCCCTGCTTTTGATCCCACTGATTCCACTCTCCCTGCTTTTGATCCCACTGACTCCACTATCCCTGCTTTTGATCCCACTGATTCTACTCTCCCTATTTTTGATCCCACTGATTCTACTCTCCCTGCTTTTGATCCCACTGATTCCACTCTCCCTGCTTTTGATCCCACTGATTCTACTCTCCCTGCTTTTGATCCCACTGATTCTACTCTCATGCACTGATGTCACCACCACTGGTTTTGATCCTACTGATTTCACTCTCACAACTTTATAACTCACCGGTTTCACCATCACTGCTTTTGATCTCACTAATCTCACTCTCAATGCATTTGATCCCAATGTTTACGAGTTCACTGAATCCACTCTCAGTTATCTCGATCTGTCTGATTTAATTCTCACTGATTTAAATCTCACTGATTTCAATCTCACTGATTTAAATCTCACTGATTTAAATCTCACTGATTTAAATCTCACTGATTTCAATCTCACTGATTTCAATCTCACTGATTTCAATCTCACTGATTTCAATCTCACTAATTTCAATCGCACTGATTTCAATCTCACTGATTTCAATCTCACTGATTTCAATCTCACTGATTTCAACCTCACTGATTTCAATCTCACTGATTTCAATCTCACTGATTTCAATCTCTCTAATTTCAATCCCACTGATTTTCATCTTTCTTATTTAAATCTCTCTGATGTCAATCTCACTGAATTCAATCTCTCTGATCTCACTCTCTCGGAATGCAAACTCTCTGATTTCAACCTCACTGACACCGTGTACCTCCTTTCCTGTCATGTTTCCTCTTCAAGCTCGTGCAGCTGAACTTCATGATTGGTGTGCGCGAGGGGTTAGGTTTCCTTCCATAACCAGATTTACCCTCAAATTCAGCTTCCATGTCCTTGCTGACCAGACCAGAAGCATGTGTGAAGTAGAGACGAAGAAGTTAGGAGGCACAGAGGAGGCAGGGGAGAATCTGGGATTACGGAGGGAGGACATAAACCCGCTAAACCTTTTTTGAACTTCCTGCACCCATCTCCCCCCGCCAACTCCCTGCTTGTACCTTGCACCCAGATCTCATCATAGGAGGCAAATGAGCATGTGTTGGTGTCAGGCTGGAAATTGTGGGCAGTCAGCAGGCCTTGTTGCTTGATGTCAAGTAGAGGTTTCTATTTTTTAATCCATCCGCCCATGTCTTACATTTTGTCACAACCATATGAATCCCAAACCAGGTTGGTCCCTCGCCTGGTGAAACACTTTGGCTCTCATCAGAAATCAGACTTCAACGTCCCAAAGGTGCATGCAATGCTCCATGTGGCCGATGACATTTGTCGTGCAGGTGTGCCGGTCCACTACTGTACTGATCTCTATGAGCATGTGCACATCTCCATCATGAAGCGACCATATCGTGCCTCAAATCATCATAATGCCGAAGCCTCAATCACCCGCCGATGCTTGACAAACGAACTTGTAGACTTCATGACTGCAACCGATGATAAAGTAGAAGACAAGGAGGCACGTAGTGTTGCAATGAAGCAAGCTCTGGAGACAGGGTCCCCGGCTGTGACAGGCAAGGTTGCGAAGATAGATCCAACCGACCGACGTACAAGGTTGTGGAAGGAGTATGCCGACACAGTTCCAGGTGATTTTCACCTGCTGAGGGAAAGCATTCTTGCATTTGAGAGGCAGCAATAACACCCAGCAGGGTGTACAGTGACGTGGTCACACGTGATTGATATTCACCAAGGTATTGCTATTCCTCCTGATGAGGATTTCACTAGATATAGCAAGTACCCAGCATATGCACGGGCAGCTCCTCTGTTCCACGGCCATTCTTGGTTCTCAGATGTCATGGTTGGGGGCGTTGAGACTACGGGGGAGTCCGTCATGTGGCCAGCTAAGGTGTTTCTGATCTTCACTTTGCACAGGACTCTCTCAAGGACAAGTGTTGATGCACGGACAGGTGACGAGTACACACGAGAGGAAAAGATGGCGGATCAAGTAGCATTCGTGCGCTACTATAAGGCACTTCCGAGCTCAAACACTGTCGACTTGACAACACTCAAGTGGTGGCCTGGTGACCAGGGATATGGGGTGGTACATGTGGGCAGCATACTCAGAGTGCTTCACGTGTTTCCTCTTGAGGCAGATTTTAAAGGCATGGGTGCTAGGTTTCTGTGGAATGAGCTAAAGTGGTAAGTAGTTAGTTAACCAGCTAGTACTGTGACATTCAGGTTGGTATGGCAGCTTAGTAGACTTTGTTAAGACTCTAGGTATGAGCTGCCTGCTCTGAACTTGTGCGTTGATCTGGCCTAACTTCATAAAGGATCATACCTCTATAATAGCAGTCTCCATTAACGTTGCAGCTCCTAGTATTTCCAATAACTCGGTGGCAACATTCCATGCGTTTTGTTTGGTGCGTAACTATCTTACCATCTGTTGTTATCTGCCCACGCCTTAGCTCCTAATGTGTCATACGTTTTCTACATTGCAAGATGCAGATTTATTAGTGATGTGCTATAAAATATTGTAAAGTTTCACAGAAATGTATAAACTCAACACATTTCTGCTCGACTGTAAGTCTACCCAACTTCGGCGGGTCGCGACTTACCAATGCTGCTGTGTTGTCAGAGTTGAGCTGTACAACACCATATTTGTTGAACAGTACCATCAGAATTCCCTCCCACGTGGGAGGATCCTCATTCCACCGATCTTGTCACTCATTCTTGACACTGTGCTTCTGATATTGTCACCATTTCGAACCCTCCCCCTCACAGGACTTTCTGCAGTGCGAAGCAACAGCACAGCACTAGGGTTTGGTCATGTGAGGCGTTGCTCCTAGGTGGTTGAGTCTGGAGGTCGAAGTTTGAATCTTCAAATTTCTAGGTTAGTCACAGCCAAACGGAGCCAGGCTCTTCAGTACCTCAAAGGTAGGCTTGATCCCGAACCTCAAAATCCTCTGACTTAAGGAGCCGCCTCTGCCAGCACAGCTAGACTGCTTAAATGGAGCCGCCTCTGCCAGCACAGATAGACTTTGCAGGCAGGAGATGCCTCTGCCAGCACAGCTAGACTGCTTAAATGGAGCCGCCTTTGCCAGCACAGATAGACTTTGCAGGGCAGGAGATGCCTCTGCCAGCACAGCTAGACTCTGCTTAAATGGAGCCGCCTCTGCCAGGACAGCTAGACTCTGCTTAAATGGAGTCTCCTCTGCCAGCACAGCTTAATTTGTCCAGCAGCCTGAATTTTCAAATGCGCTTCGACCAGCGCATCGAATGCCTCTGCCATAGAAGGCTGGATGCATTCTCGGAAGTGTCAAGAGAGGATACAAGCGCGACTCGTGTAGGACTCCCAATAAGTCACCACAGTGAGTATATATTCGTTCCATCGCTGCTATAGTGCTATTACCCTACGTTCGTATCTAGATCCTCTCCAGAAGATGGCTCCAAACTCATCACCCATAATACCACCATCTCTTGTGCGTCAGATGGGTGTGCGCCAGAGTCTTGAGCACACCAGCAAGACTAATCACACGCTGATTCCATGCCAGGGCCAGCTTGCAGG